CAGGTCTCTAATTTTGGGTGCCTCGCTTTAGGCATCCAAGTTTGAACATACTGGTTAACATTTTTTTATGGGGTAGAGGGGAGCAAAAGTCTGGCCAAGGAAATTAGGTTAAACAGGTACTTTTATGAAAAACCATCATGGGATTCATTGCATCCACACAATGCAGGCAGCTCATCTGCTCTTAAAGTCTCACCTGAAAGACCCATGGCAGTAACTTGTGCATGCCTCAGTTTGCCTACTTTGGAAGGATAAAGGGCTATGTGAGCTATGCTTGGATTTGGAACCTCTCTCCCCAAGAGTCAAATCTGGAGTTCACACAACTCATCCATCACCTCTCTTGTCTGGTTGTCCTTACTAGGAGTTATGTTTATCAGGACTCCCAACTTCTCAAGCTGGTCTTCTCTGTCAAGTATAAATGACTATTGTCTTGAGCTATCAAGAGCCATTAAAGCTAATTAACTCACCCATCTCGTTTTGATGATGACAAGCATTTATATAGCATCTTCCATCACAATGGATCCCACCGCATTTAACAAAATGTAATAAACCTACATCTGCCATGCCTGGGGATCACTTCGTTCACAAAGGACAGGCAGCCACTTCTACAGCAACTGTTTAGTAACACCCAGCAACGCAACCCAAGAGTTCATGGCAGGGAGTGTGGCCTACCTTTCATGAACGATAAACGTATCGAAGAAAGTGATATCTCTGCGGGCATTTCGGTTTGTGCGTTGTCTATTAGCGAGAGCCACGTAATGGTGCAGGAATGGAATAGTGGTTAGAGACATTCACTCTTTCTTACGGCTCCCCTGCCCTTCCTGGTTCTCGTTCTACAGACCAAAAGTAGAAGACTAGAGTCCAAAGCGCAGGCAATGCGATGTTGATTGGGGTTAACAAGCAAGCATAATCACAGCTCTTACACCAGTAGAGCTTCCTTCCCCCCTCCTCCTCCTTTGTAAGCTTAATTATACCTGTAGTGCTTTCCCCTGGTACCACCCCTTACCATTTATGGTCATATTCCATTTTGGAGGGTCTTGAGTCTGGGGACTTCGGTACCACTTCTTTTGTACCCATGGCAGGGGTAGGGAGTGAGATTGTACTGGTCAGGGTCACCTTTTCTTTGGCCTTCGTGTTTCTTATCACCCCCACCCCATCGCCCCTTGCCCCTCCCAACTGCTTGATCTTGCCTGGGGAGGGGAGTCGAGGCAGAACTGTCTTTCAATTGTACATTTGTCTATTAAACTCCCACCATATCCATTAACTCTTTTTCTTAACTTTTCTCATTGTACTGAAAACCCCATCTGGCTGTGAGCAGAAGCAACACAGGGTCTTTGTTCCTTATTCGCATGTGTTAATAAGGACACCAATAACTGTATTTGAAAAATCTCAAAATTCAAGCAGGCAAACAAAACCCCAAACTCTATCTCAGGCAAATAAGCAGGCCTAAATACTATACTACCATCACTACCACTCTCCCTTTACCCTATTTCCCCTTAGAAGATAGACATTCAGTAGCCATTACTGGCACATATCCCAGTTTAGATATAGTTTGTTTGTTTGGGTTTTTTTGCCTTCAAAATAGGATCATTTCCCTCTCTCTCAACTTCTGTCTCTGTCTTTCAGAGACAAGAAATTTTGGACACGCAGCTGAGCCCTCAGGCTCACCTTTGCAGTTGTCTTTGCAGTCTGGATGTGTCCGTTTTGAGATAAGCTCGGAAGTAGTTTTCAGAGGGGCCAAGCACGCCCAACCCTGGTGGAAAGCCAGACTCTGGGTCTGAAGTTGGACACCCATATCTCGAAGCACCCAAAATTAGTTGCTGCTGTTGCAGAATGTAGCTGTACCCCTCTGTGCCTTAACTGCCCCATCTGTAGAATGGGAAATGATCATGTCTGGTGATTGAAATGTATAGATGAAAGAATTATGTATTATCGTTGGGCTAGATCCTCAGCTGGGGTAAATCGTTGCAGCTTCATTGAAGTCAATGGAACTATACTAATGTACACAAACGGAGGATCAGGCCCATTGTTATGCATTACCATTATCATGTGACTCTCAACCCCACACCTCCTGTGTTTACCCATCACTGGCTTTATCCCATCCCCTTTCATTTGCTTCCTTTCTACACAATTTACATTTCACCCCCTTGGTGCCTGTTGGACGAGAACCCTTTCATCTCTCATCGTAATGCTCAATAATCACATTTCCATTTGTTTTCCTTTTCATGAAGCTCCTTTCTGAAAACAGGATCTGACCTCTCGCTTTGTGTTCTCCCATCAGCCAAGGATCGTGTTGTGCATGAATTTAAATGATTTTTTTACATCTTTACAGAATTTGGTTACTTTATTTTTGTGTGTGTTCTCGTTTGTTTGTTTGCTAATTTCTGGGGCTTTGAGGAGTGGATTAGGCAATTTCCAGAGCCTATTTCCAATTACTATTGAGTCTTTGAATTGAACTGAATTTCACTGTGAGCTGGATAATAGAATGATCTGAAAATTCAGCTGGAAACATGTCACTATTGTTGCTACAAGTATTAGCGCTAACATAGACGTTATCAATTTTACTTTCTTCAAAAAATCCAGCTTTGAAATCAACACGCGGCTCACACCAAACAAAACCCAGTTGCATCTGGGATTTCTCCTATTATCAAAACCATGAAACCTATCCAATCCCTACACACCTGGATGCCTTGGATACAACCCTGGGATAATGTACAATAAATGTCCCCCAAGAATCACTCTTATTTAACCAGGGACTAGTGTAAAGCAGCATGTGAGTTTGATCTCCGTCAATTTTCTACTGCACAGGTGTCCACATCACAACAACTACCGTCCCACATGGCAGTAGCAGCCCGCCACAGCAGAGCGGACATGGACTGAATGAGCCGTGGAGACTGAATCACCTTTCATCCCAAGGCGTGGTCCAACCAGCTCGTGGATTAGATGCGTATGGTCAGATCCTCATCCTGTGTAAATCGTCACCGCTACACTGACTTTGATAGAGCTATGGTTATTTATATCAGCTGAATAGGGGGAAGGTATAAGAGAGGGAGTAAGGAGAGCTATGAGATTCAGCCGGGGGTCAGGGGCAGTCAGCTCCGAGTCAGGAAGCGAAGTCCCGGTCGTGCCTATTTGCTGCTCGGCCTAATCCTGGGCATCACTGCAGCTGCTCCAGCCCCTCTGGCTCTCGCTCTCACCCAGGGCTGCCCGGGGGGGAGGGGCAAGTGGGGCAATTGGCCCCTGGCCCCACACGAGAATATAGTATTCTATAGTATTGCAACTTTTTTTTATGGAAGGGGCCCCCAAAATCGCTTTGCCCCAGGCCCCCTGAATCCTCTGGGCAGCCCTGCTCTCACCTCCGAGTTTACACAGGGGAGGAGCCCTCCACGATATTTCTACGGCAGGGGCACTAGATCCCGGTTCTGCCGCCTCTGAGCTGAGGATCTGGTCCATTAGCAGGGCAGTGGGTTGGAAGCTGGCCCAGTTCCTATCTGTGCTGCACCTGTTCTATTATGAACAGAGGATTCCGGTCTCCAAAGCTGTTATGCATCTTTTCACCAGCATTAGAATCACTTCCAGATTTGGATACGCTTTGATTCTTTTAATGTATTTCATGACCTTTAAATATGAAGCCTACCCCTTGCATAATGACCGGTCCCTATGGACCACAAGGAGGATCCCTGCTCCTAGTCATTCAGCTCCGACTCCCAACTCAACTTTCTACTTGAGAGTCATGTCACAAGTCAGAAGAAAGTGTTTGGCTTTAAATATTTCCATTGCCATTTCCTTAGCCTCTGGTGCTTTGCTATTATTCACCTGGCATGCTACTGCAGTGATAAAAGATGTGTCGCCTTCCCAGATTTTTTTTTTTTTTTTACAAATCTCATTTGAATTTGTGTTACTTTATTTTGAAGGGCAGCTGGAGTGTTGCATAAAGGGTGAGGAGAGCGGAGATTTGCCTGTTCTTGGAAGTGAAGATTGTCTCTGTACAGAGAGGATGGGTTTCTCCATACTTTCATCCACTTCACTTTTCTTCATAGTTAGGATGCTTTGTCAGCTGACCAGCATGCCAAGATAGTTTCAAAGGCAACATCTGTTTGCACAGCTGTTTGCCCCCCCCCCCCAGTATTAATACTTACTCTGGCTTAATTAATAAGTAAAAAGTGAATTTATTAAATACCGAAAGTAGGATTTAAGTGGTTCCAAATACATCTCAACCCCGATATAACGCTGTCCTCGGGAGACAAAAAATCTTACCACGTTATAGGTGAAACCGCGTTATATCAAACTTGCTTTGATCCACCAGAGTGCGCAGCCCCGCTCCCCCAGAGCACTGCTTTACCGCGTTATATCCGAATTCCTGCTATATCGGATTGTGTTATATCGGGGTAGAGTTGTAGTAACCGACAGAACAAAGTGAATTACCAAGTAAAATAAAATAAAACACGCAAGTCTGTGTCTAAGAAAACTGAATACAGATAAAACTTCACCCTTAGAGGAATTCCAGTAAGCTTCCTTTTACAGACTAGTCTCCTTCTAGCCTGGGTCCAGCAATCACTCACACCCCCTGTAGTTACTGTCCTTTGTTCCAGTTTCTTTCAGGTATCCTTGGGGGTGGAGAGGCTCTCTCTTTAGCCAGCTGAAGACCAAAATGGAGGGGTCTCCGAGGGGTTTAAGTAGACTTTCTCTTATGGGTAGAGACCCCCTCCTCACTCCTATGCAAAGTCCAGCTCCAAGATGGAGTTTTGGAGTCACATGGACAAGTCACATGTCCATGCATGACTGAGTTTCTTACCAGCCAAGCCACATTCCTGGGAAAGCTCCGATGTGGATTGGTGTCTTCGAGTTCATTGTTGGCTTAAGTGGTTCTTGACTGGGCACTTAATTTGCACATTCCTTTCTCAATAGAAATCAAGCAAGTATACAGCCAATATTCCTAATTTCAAGTACAAAAATGATACGTGCATACAAATAGGAGGATTGTATTCAGTAGATCATAACCTTTACATAGATATGTTCCGTGGCATATGTAGCATAAAACGTATTCCAGTTATATCATAAATACATTCATAAGCATATTCCCAGGGAGCCTTATGGGGGGCACCGTCACAACCAGATGCTGTGGACCACTTCCAAGAGATGTTTCGGGGAAACAGGACTATCCAGTGCAGAGCTTGAGGGAGGTCCTAATGCAGTTCATGCAGGTACGGCCCCATTGATATGCTTAAACCTCATCTTTGGTTGGTGTCAATTAGTGGAGCTCTATGGACTTCAGGGAGTTACGCTGATTTACAACCACTGGGGATCTAGTCCACAGTATTTAGGGCAAAACGTAGTATTTTTTTCTAAAATGAGGACGTATGAGTGTTTAGATATAGGCTCAGCTCCTCACTGGATGTAAACCTGTGATGCTCCATTGCTTTTCATGGAGCTACGTTGACTTACACTAGCTAAGAATCTGGCCCATAGGGTTTGCATTCAGTCAGCTATGGAGACCGAGATTCAGGGGAGCTACCCTGATTTACAGCAGCCCAGGATCTGTCTCCAGGATGGGATCTCCGTCAGCGGAGCATTGACTTCCCCAGAGTCGAGGGATATTTGGATCCAGGGGTTGATTCAGAGCATCTCTACATTTCCACCATGTAAAAAAAAAAAAATCTGTTTGGAAGGATGTTTAAAAGCATTTCCCTTTATCTACAGCTTATCAGCTGTTTTCCATCCCCCATCTCTGAATCAGTGTGTCAGTATTTTTGGACAGTGCACTGAAAACTTTGCTGTGTGCTTTCAAGCCAGGAAATGATATCCTGTGCTGTCAGGGCTCCATTCTGAAACAAGATATTCATGACTTTCCCTTCCGACACTGAGACTGGTATTAGAACCAAGCCCTCCCATTCAGGTTTATTTTTAACTCCTCCCTCCTCCCCCACACGTAATCTCCAAAATCACTTTAGAAAAGTACTATATCAAAAGCTGATATTAAATTCTCAAGTGCTTAGCAAATGATTTAAAGCAACTGCTTGCACTGGGGTAAACCCCAGAGATTTCTTTTGTAAAGTTCCACCTACATAATCTCTCAGAGGTAGATTTTCAAAGCTTACCATTTATTTTAGTCTGGAGACATTTCTAGGCTTGTATGGCTCATCTACTTTCTGGCCACTACTTCTTTTAAGTAGGAAAATGGTTGTTTTCTTCCTATGTAATCGCCTTCCTTTGTTCAGCATTTCCCTTTGCTGTCGCCAGATACACGTGCAGGGCATGATCAGTCTATCTGTTCGGTTGTGGGGCATCTGGAGAAAAGAACATGATAGATACCTGATATGGAGAAAAGCAATGCAAGCCAAGCAAGTGTGTGAACTTTGTTTCCATGAGCACATGCTGCATACAGATAAAAAACACACTTGGAAGAGAAGGCCTGACAAAGGGAAAGTAACCTGTATCCCATATTGAGCCAAGTCCAGAGTTGGTATAAATTGATGCAACTCCCATCGAAGTCAATGGTTTCACCAACTGAGGTTCTGGTCCATTATACACTATAACCTGAGTGTATTAATGAGTGATAAAACAACGAGGAATCCTTGTGGCACCGTAGAGACTAACACATTTATTTGGGCATAAGCTTTTGTGGGCTAAAACCCACATCTGATGAAGTGGGTTCTAGCCCATAAAAGCTTGTGCCCAAATAAATGTGTTAGTCTCTAAGGTGCCACAAGGACTCCTCGTTTTTTTTTTTTTTTTTTTTTTGTGCTGATACAGACTAACACGGCTACCACTGAAACCCGTCACCATGCAAGTTAGTGAGTGATGTTGCCCTCTAGTGGCTGACCCTCAAAGATAAGGGACTTGCTATTGCTGCAATCTAAAGTCCTTCTTCTTTAACCAGAGGGGCAAATGCTTATGTTTCTGGAGCTGTTAAAACCAGTGTTCTAGTCCCATCAACAGCAGATAGATTTGTTATGACACATACAATACACAGCAACACGAAGTGCAAAGTGAAACTACACAAGGCAACCACAAATTGCATATTTTGGCCTTTACACAAGTGTGAACAAGCCAGAGGGTTGCAACCAGCAACTTTAATCAAGGACGGAGCTAAGTGTGCCATAGGGTTGTGCTGTGTGCCCTGTCCCCAGGAGGAACAGCAACTTTGGGCAAGACCCACACAGTTACCCCTTAGTCTCTAGCTGCATTTTTTGTGAAAAAAATTGGTTTTGAGAATCATCATTTTCTGACAACAAAAAAGTTTCACTGAACATTTCCAGACCAGCTCTAGTCTGAACGCTTTCTGAAATTAACCACTCCCGCTGATCTAATGTTTCTCTCCTGCAGTGATCTTTCTCCCCATCATGCTACTGAGCACATCTGCTTGCCTTTCGTGCTTTTTTGTGCTATAAGAGATGCTTAGATTCACTCACACCCATCATCTACTTGCATACATACACCCCCCAGACACCATCCCCTCTCCCATCATCCACCTACACACCAGTCCCCCACAATTACCTCTCCACACAGACTTTTACCTACTCACACCCCTACTCACTATCTTGGTCTCACAGAATCCCCTGCTTTCCCATCCCAATGCCCCATCTAAAGCAATCCTGATGTCCTCATTAACATCCCAGTCCCTCATCAAACCCAGGGCTGTTGCACAAACCTGGGATGTGTATATATGAGCGAAGGCCGAGCACATAATGGCTGCTGCATTTGTCTACACTTACTGTACTTCCAGTGTCTAAATCATTGCTTTGCAAAGCCCTTTGGGATACCTTGAGCATGCAAGATGCTATATAAAACCCCAAGCCTGTTCTATTCTAAAACAGCACTTTTAAGTCCTTTTATCACAGAATGAGGCAAGCAGTGAATTGAGCCCTGAAATAGCAATTTAAAGTTTTCCTGAAAGAGCAGCTCAGGATATGTTTGGTATATTTTAACATAAGTCTAGAGCACTAAGTGCACTAAAAATGCACCGTTTGTTTTTGTGTAGGGGAGAAACGTAAGCACCTCTTTTCCTTTGGGATTTTGTTTATTATATGAGCTGACAAAGATCTGTGGGGATGACAAAGAAGTGGGGGTGGAGGGGAGCCTTGCAGAGGTCCCTGATTATTTGAGCTCAGGAAAATAACAGCTTGTTTCAGTTGTTTAGCTTGGAGAGTTACTTGGTTTATGATCTAAAACTAGCCATGCAGCTGGAGAATAAAGGGAGAGCGCTCTAGGATTTAATGGTCTAAACCAAAGCTCTACGGTTATGAGGAGTCAAACACAGTTGCAAAAGGGGAGCGGCGAGAGAGACAGGCTGTTTTTGGATGACCGGGATTAAGGCGGGGTTCTTGGGAATCCAAACTAGCCAGCAGAAAGGTGGCTCTGAAATTACAGTAAGCAGCAGGTGACGGGAATTGCTGCTGGTTCAGGATTCAGGCAGGGAAAGATGCGCTTAACATCACACTATGACCCAAGGGGAAAGAGAAGAGGCAGCACGCAATGTCTGCAACTTGCATGTTCCCAGTTCATGGCCACTTGCATGGTACACACTGCCAGCTCTCCGGGTGTTGATAGAGCCCCCAGAAAAGCAGGCCGCTGGGTGGATGCACTCGTTGCATGTGTATAGATCAGCTGTGGGTGGCTCTCTACCAAGTATAGTCTATGCCCACCTCTGACCATAGACACAATCACTCCCACATGCTCTATGGGTCCCAGGCTAGGAACCAGACATGAGTTAGGAAGGCATGCGGTTATTCTTTGGCTGCTATCTCCAGTGTATTGGGGGAATATTCCAGCAAATGAGCCTCCTGAACGCCCTCAGTACCAAAGGGAATACACCAAGCCTGGGGAACCTGCTTATTCTCTTGCACCCTACCATCACCAGGACACCGCCCCTTCTTTCCAAGATCAAGTGTGAAACCCTGGCCCCACTGATTTCAATGGGGCCAGGATTTATAGCTCAGTGGTTTGAGCATTGGCCTGCTAAACCCAGGGTTGTGAGTTCAATCCTTGAGGGGGCCACTTAGGGGTCTGGGGCAAAATCAGTACTTGGTCCTGCTAGTGAAGGCAGGAGGCTGGACTCGATGATCTTTCAAGGTCTCTTCCAGTTCTGGGAGATAGGATATCTCCATTAATTAATTAATTAATTGATTTCACCCCTTGTAAAATCTACAGCCAGTGGTACCTCTTTTTCCTTTCCAAGCCTAGATCAACCAGCTTCTTCTAGAGAGCGTGCTGCATATGCTACATCCTATAACCGGACCATCCAGCATTCAGCACCCAGAAAGCCTAAAACCAAACACCAGTATCCACTGATTCAAGCATACGTGTGCTATAACAGATCCACCTACAGAACATGGGTTTATTTAGTGTAAAGTACATCTGGGAAAGAAAATTAACAGCACTGGAAAGGGACCTTTTTTCCCTTTCGTTAATAAAGGTATATCCAGATGTTTATTCTCTGGGGATGCATTAACCTTGTTTCCTACTTGCTCTTGGTACAGTGACCAGGAAGTTAATTCTAGGCGTGGATTCCTTGTTCATAGAACAATAACAAATCAAAAGGGAAAATATTCCTTTAGATAATTTTGTTCCTCTCCCTGCACCTGCAGGATTGTTCACTATTTAATATTCTAGATTAGTATATCTAGGTTACTTATAAATGACACGAGCACTGAAGCGTCCACCCTTTCCCCTGGGAGACGCATTCATAGACTAATCAACCTTACTTTTCAAGGGGAAAAAATCAGACATTGACCTTATGTTTTTACTTCAGTGGAGTTTCACAAGATTTACACCCATGTAACTGAGGGCAGAGTTTGTCTCTTTGATGTCAATAGAATTATACCAGAGATGAATTTGTCCCCCTTCGATAATTTAATCTTTCCTTAAAAATCAATCTGTTCAGTCGCTTAATCAGTTCCAATGATGTTCTTTGAATTCCCCCCAATTAGTCAATATGTAGTTGGGGTCGAAGTACTCAGAACTGAATTCTGTTTTGTCTCATCAAGCCCAAAGAGAAATAGTCCATAAACTGCCTGGGCTGTGACATAATCCGGATCCCCCAAATAGCGTTATATTCTCATTGTGTGCCACTATTTTGTATTGCAAGCTCAAAGGTATAACTAATTTGCTATTCACTTTTACCCCTTAGTCTCTTTTGGTATCATTTGTTCCTTGTCTAGTTGTGTTTCATGATGTTGTTTTATTGACCGAGATATTCACTGCATTGTTCCAAGTTGAGCTTGATTTCATTACTTCTACCCCCAGACATGTCACTGACTTCCTGTGTGACCTTGGGCAAGTCACTTCCTCTCTCTTTGCCGTATCTGTAAAACTGAGATAATAATACTGACAGGGTGTGCTTCACAGGCGGGGTTGGGAGGCTTCTTCAGTTCATGCTCGTAAAGAGCTCTGAGATCTCCAAACGGGCTGTGCTATGCAATTAGCATGAGATTTTTAAAATCTCTCAGGGCCTGATCCAAAGCCCATTTATGGAGAGACGCCCTTTGGCTTTAGTGGACTTTGGACTAGGCCTTTAGATCCCTTTGTAGTAGCGTTTGTCTCTCCTCATTGGTACTCACAACACGAACACCTCCAAGTATACAACCACGTCTTCCTGCTGTAAATCAGCCGTGCTCCAGTTACATCTGCAGAGAATCTGACCTTTAGTATGAGTCACTAACTAAATTTTAAGTTGGAGGGTTGAATTTTTTTCACAGTCCCGTGACTTTTTCCATGCCCTCCTTCCTATTGAATGGCTTGCTTGGCTAATCCCAGATGAGTTTTCTACATGGGGATGCCAAAGCACAGACCCTCAGCTGTCTTTCCTAGGCTGGCCATGTCTAAGAGTCTTATTTCAGCTGCTTACTGTATTCCTTTGAAAGCTGAGTGGAGGAAAGTGGTTGTGTGAATGAGCTGGAGAAAAAGAGAAGTGTCTGAGAAGAGGAAGTGGTGAAATAGATGGAGCAAAATTCCTGTGCCTCTGTTTGAAAGGAGAGTGACAAAGGTTAAAATTGCGCCAGTTGCTCCTTCTGGCTGGCATTGCTGATAGACAGAACCTTTATCAAGTGTCAGCAAAGGCGTATGACATTTATCAAGGTGGAAAGATGGTTGCTGCTGTGCTGACAGAGTATATTCAATTCATGCCATCTCCACTGTACTGCCGTTTCTTAATGGCTTGCTTTCTCACTCGCTCCCTCTGCCTCATCTCAAGTCTCCCTTGCTCCATCTATTTCCTGCCTTCCCTTCGTCTTCCTTTATTTCCCTTTTCTCCCCTTCTTTTCTCCTTCCCTCTCTCTTTCTCCCGCTTTCCATCACACCCTTCCTTTCTCTTTACCTGCCCACCCCTGCCCATTGCATCTCCATCCATATAGCTCAGGAGAGCATTACTGAACCCTGGCTCTGTCAGACAGGAATGCATTTCCACACTTGGGCTATCAAACATTTCAAATCTCTTCTGTGCCTGGGAAAGACAAAGAGCCACTGGCTGTAAAATTCAGGCCAAAGGAATTAAATCCCATTGTCAAGGAGGCAAGAGTCTTACCGGGTGTGTTAGGACTGAGAGCTGGGCTCACGGACCCATCGTCTCCTGCACAAAGCACAGCGTGAGGTGGAGGAAAAGACATCAGAGCATCAGCAATTAAGTGATTATGCAAATCGAAAGAGGGATTTTGTTGTAAAGCATTTTCCAGTTTGAATGTGACATGATTGCCAGAGACATGCTATGCTAAGCGCTGGGAAACAAGAATGCACACCTGGGAATAACCTACCAGTCACTGGGTGTCACCGCTGAGCCACAGAAATGCAGCTCGAGGATCATTATTTATCTGCATTTAAAAGCATGGATGCTTAAGAAAGGAAGGTGGTTACAATTGGAAGCTCTCAGGTGAGGTGGTACCTCTTTGTAGGTTGTCCCTGGTCTTCTGCTGGAGCCTCATGTTGGTAGCAGTGCGCGACACACATAATGTCAAAGCCTAAGTGTTCATCCTCAAAGGGGTGATAGCAGAAAGATCAGATCAGCTGACAGGTGCTGGAGCCCCATTAATAGAAAGGCGAGGGAGCCACTTGCAGCAGTCGGGCTTTGCCACATATCTGGAAGGTTAATGGATCAGGGTTCTGATGGACCAGGTGGGAAGGGAATTCTTTGTTTGCGCTTCACGAGGCTGCATAGAGAAGAGATGGGCAGTCCCTTTTATACGATATAGTGATTATAATTCATGGGATAGGTGCCCGATGCACAGGATGGGCTCCTACAGTTGCATCCTGGACTCAACAGGATTTGGGAAATTCACCCCCATGCAGAGGGCCAGCCCCAGGGCCGTGCACCATCTAAGTCTCACTTCTGTTCTGTTTTGAAAGGACACAAGTGGTGCACAAGCCTTGTGCTGGCTCTCTGCACCGGGATGGTTTCACATGGAAAGCGAAGGAAAAGAATGAGCAAAAACAGACAAACCAAATGAATGTTTATGTTTTAGAAAGGACAAAGGGACATTTGGTAGCATGGGGATGGTCCAGTGGTTGGACTGTTAGCCTAGAACTTGGGAGAGCCCCGATCATTTCCCTAGTCTGCCACATGCTTCCTGTGTGACTTTGAGTGAGTCACTTACAGCTTGTCTACAGGATGTGACAAGATGCATGAAGGGGGTGGGGGCTGATTTCTAAAGTGCACAAAGGTGTTGCTGTTTCCAACAGCACTACACTGAAGCACCCTAGAGAACCATTAGCGTGCACCAGCAGGGTCTGCACAGACCAATTAATGTGCAACACCTTCGTGTGCTTTAGAAATTACACTCCTGGAAAATGCATTACCAATAAGTCTCTCTGTGCCTTGGTTCCCCATCTGTAAAATGGAGCTCAATGACCTTCCCTTCCCCCCTGGGTTGCTGAGGATAAATATACTAAAGATTGTGCAGTGCTCAGGTAATGGGTGCCATAGATAGGTGTCAATCTAGCTCTACTTGTAAAACACCATAGATCTTAAGTAGGGTAGCAACTGAAAGGTTTGAAAAGCAAAAAAAAAAAAAAAGATTTTAGTTCCTAACAAGGTCTGTTTGTTTTTTTCCCAATGGCGGGATTTGAAATACAGTTCTCAGAGTAGCTGTGTAACTAACATGTCTTTAAAAAGAACCTGCCATCCATCTTCCTGGTGTCAGGTTGATGGATAGTAAATTTCTAAGTAATATCTCTTGACTGAATGAGCCTTCCTAACACCTCCATTTAGGAAAGAGACATCAGCAGGTGAAATGTAATGGATTGTTTCATTGTCCCTGGTAGCAGGAGGTGGTTAGTTTTCCAATGTTTTCAGACATTATGTAGTTTTAAAATGTTAAACAATACATAGAAAAGACTAATCCAAAATCCTAAAGGGATTTCATAATGAAGTGTCACATTGATCTCACCCTACCAAGTCTGTCTCGCTATATCTCCCTGTGGATCGCAGCATGAACAAGACAGAACCACTTCCTTTTACCTTGCATTCCTTTTGCCCACATTCTGCAATGCTCCCATTGTAGGGAAAGGGTATTATTGGGCACAGCTACATACACACAGGAACAATGCAGAAGGGAAGCACATTTCCCATGCAATAGCTAGACGCTTGAGGTATCTTGCCACCGTAATGCATTGGGGTTCTACAGGCTGGTGACTTGTTAATAAAAGTAGGGAGCCCTTTTCAGACACGATCAAGTAGATTAGGCCACCCACTTCTGCACACACATACTCAGACTGGCACTTAAGATACTTAAATTCGGTATTTTAAGATGCCTACGTCCTAATTTGATCTAGATTCAGAACTGGACAATTTATCCTAGACACTTACCTTTGCAAAATGGGCTCCCTGTGTTAATTCCTGGCACACTGCCTCCTGTGCTATCCAGAACGCTGCCTGAACAAATGTACCATCCAGCATATTGTCCAATGCACCATGCAATACACCACAGACAACCCCAGCTAGGGCACTGTCCAACCCAAAGCACCTGTCAGCCCAGTATGGCATCTAGCATAGTGCAGAGCTGAGTACAGCACTCAACAATGTCCCTTAGTACTCCACTGGGACACCCTCCAGTGCAGCTGCTGTCCCATCAATCAGGGCACCAATGGAGCATTTACTGTGCTCCTTGCTCTTTAAGCATCCAAACAGTTAAATCTGATGATATGCTTTCCTTGGGGGTGGAGAGGGAGAGGGGAAGGAGAGCTAGAGGAAAGATCACAGAGAGAGAAAAAACTCACTTGAAACAGGGAAATAAAGATGGTTTAATAACTGGGACACTACACGGTCTGTGGAAATCAAGTTCTCATTTCTACTGGCCAGCTGCCAGATAGAGAGGCACAAACAAAGCCAGAGAAAAGCAGGTTAATGAGAGCCTACTTTTTTTTTTTAAAGAGAGCACGGAGTTGCTGCTGATGGGATAAATAAGATTTGCGCTGGCATTATCAGATCTGTTTGCCATGTGTATTTTATTTAATGTGGGCAATCTTTTAAGTCTCCCAGAGGTAGGTCTCAGCCTGGGGATCCAAGCAGCCATTGTTGCACCCCTCCCTCAGCATTTCTGCCCCCTGTCATGGTGGGATTTGGTGGCATCCTGATTTGGTCACCGGGATGATGGTAGCTTGCTTTGGAAAGGCATTTGCGGCACACTGCATCTGTCAGCAGGCTGAGGGATCACAGGAACTCATGGCGTGATGGGCCAGGTGTCAAAAGCAATAAAGAAAAATGACGGTGCCAATCCCACATGAGGAATTTGGCTTTTCAGAACGGCTGGCCTGTGGTACCTTTGCAGAGAGTATTTTTAACTCCCTCCCTCCAGCCCCTGTTAATGCATGAGCTTGGGACATCTCCTGAAATTATTCTTCCTTTAGTTACTTGCTTGCTTATACTTTTAAGACCAAGAGGATGGCTTAAGAACCCAAGACACTGGTCCAAAATGCCTAGGCTCCTTGAAACAGGCCTGAATCCCATCAGGGTTCGCTCAGCTCTTTATCTTTCCGATGCAGATAAATGGTGCTCACTGGGGTTGTAACTGGGTCACTGCCAGTGCCCCATCATTTCAAGTAGGGTCACTCCCATTGCTTTGGGGTGGTCAGGCCTTTTAAGCTAAGGTAGAAAAGCAAACTAAAACAAACAACTGTCCCTCTCACACACAAAGAGACTAGCACTCCAGGCTGCTTTCCCACTGAAGACAATGAGGGAAACCCAAATAAAAGGAAACAGAGAGGCAATCAGTAAACAACCCTTCTGAACAACAGAGAATCTTTGCCCTCCCCTGTGTCATGGGGAATGGGGATGAAGGAGATGGCCACAATCCCTTTCTCAGGTTCCAGTCCTCTTTTGTCTGCCAGGGAGGAAGCTCTACTCCTTCCCAGGAGAAACTTTTCCAATCCCCTGAAAGCCTTTGGTTGGCATTTTCATAGGGGCTTAAGAGAGTTAGGTGCCCAAATCCCATGGACTTTCAATAGGAGCTAACCGCCTAACTCCCTTTGGAAAGTCACTGCATTTGTTTATGGCCTCTGTGTTGGCTCCACCCTTCAACTGACTGATGGCCACAGCTGCCAGCCTCTGTCTCCAAGCTTATGGGATGGGTTTTTCTTCTTAGCTTTGTGAAGAGGTTCTAATTCCTTTGCGGTTCAACCTAGGACAAGGCAGGTAAACCCTGATGCAGGGGCCTTGAAAACAAGACCTTAACACCATGGATGCTAAACTCCCATCATGCTTTCCCCAGATGTTTTGTTGAAAAAACCCTATAAAACTATCCAATCCATCTGCCTTGGAGTAGGGGATTAGGGGCTTGGCCAAGTGTCCCTGGCCATAACTTCCCCTTCCTTTTCTCATGCTGTGAGCCAGCTGGTGCTATATCAGCATTATTATTCCCCCGAAAACATTAACATTGTGTGAAAGGTGCCAGACTGACACACCCTGAACTCCTCTCTCTACAGCACAGGGAAAGCATGGATGGGGCAGGCCACGTTTCCCTCACCCCTTCCCTTCACCATGCCCTTCTACCATGACCTCCTCTAGGGTGGACTTCGTTCCCCGTGGCCCATTCACTATTTTGTCTCTGTGCTGAGATCACTCAACAAAGGGATTAGTTAGTGCTACATGAGATAGCTGCTTTTCAATAGGGACACTTCACTAGGAAATAGGCTGGGACCATCCGTCACTTTCATGGAGGCCACCATTGGATGGCAATGATTTCTGGCCATGTCTATGGCTGACTGGATTTGAGCACATGACCTAGACTTGAAAGCCTCTGTCATGCATTAAGAGCCACCTGAGTTACCCAGTGCCAAGGTCACTTGTTTTTCTAACTGTTTTAAAAAATGGTCTTATTTTGCTTTTGTTTGATAGTGGGTGCTGACGTCATCCAAGCATACACTTTCCAGCAGCCCAGGACCTAATCAAGGAGACTTTGCTCAGGAGAGGACATCAAGAGCCCAACTCATTCCAGAAGTGGTGTCCACCAAGATTTTATTCAAGTCAGTCTAACTGCCAAACTCTCTCTCTCACGCAACAGCTGTCTTTTTACATTAAAGGTCTGAGCATTAGCACAGGTTGCTTGCTTAAAAATGCTAATGCTGCTTGCTGACCCTCTTCGAGCTTGGCATTGCAATGACGAGATCTGGCAACTTCTCTCAAGTGGGTATGAAAAGGGCTCTTCCTTCTCCACTGCCTTGGATTGTGTGCTGAGTCTTTAACACTTGTGCAAAGCAGATGTAAAAGGCTAATCAGACCGGTAGTGGCCTATGCCCGTTGCACACTCGCTGTGCATAGGTGTCAATGGTGAATAAGGTGCAAGGCAATGGGAAACCAACTCCGGAGTGTCTTATATGGGTAATTAACCTCCCTTCTTAGTCCCTTGCTTGGGTCACCCTCAGTGCTTGAGCCCGATCCTCAGCTGGTATAAATTGACATAGCGCCATTGATTTCAATGAAGCTACACCAATTTAGAGCAGGTCAGGATCCAGCCCTAGCTCTCCAATATGGGGTAGACTGCCACAGTGCCACCACAGAATTTCATTGCCAATTTGTCCCTTTCTTGCACTGCTTTATCACACAGCCAATATCTCTGTCCCCGCAGGTCTATGCCAATATTGAAGACTCACAATAGCTATCAGACAGCTTCACTCACTCCAATCCTCGCACCTTTCCACCTTGGCAGAAGGCCTCCAGAAGGCATCCACATCCCGCCAGCTGTTGCGAAGCATGGGCTGTCCTGGGTTTACAAACCCAGGGGTAAATGAGTGAGTTCAAACAGCGGCAGGCCATACAACAGCCAGTTCTTCTGATCCCCCCCAGACACCCACTTGGAGTTGCCATCCCATGAGCACAGAAATGTAGCTGCATTTCTCTTTTATAATAAACTTCAGCCCAAGACCGCCGCCATTTTTGACAAGGAAACAGCCTCAGTGATACTATCTACAGCTCTAAGTCAGGGTGGGCTTAAATCCCATTAACTTCAATAGGACTTAAATGTGTGGGTAAAGTAACACACATGCTTAAGTGTTTTGCTGACTAGGGACGCTTTTCTGAATCAGGGCCACATTTAGCTCTCTCTCCAGCTATCATTCCTGTTGATTAAGAGTGCCCATTATAAACCCCTCTGGAACTCTCTTTAGACAAAATAAACAACAAGACTGCATGTTTGGAGAGCTTTCATTTTAAACCCAATGGGCCAGACTTTAATGGAGCTAGGCTGATTGACACCAGATGAGGATTTGGCCCAGTAATTCAGCTCTTTTACATTTTTATTTCTCTCAAATAGCCCCAAAGTGCCAGCCCACATTCTGCGCTAATGGGTTGTTAAAATCCAGCATCAAAAAGCAAAGCTTTTCTTTTATTTCTTCATGTTGGATGTGGCGGAGGGGAGGCAAAGGCATCTTTAATCAATATAATTCCATAGGGTGTTTTTTGTTTTGCTTTTGAAAGATTTGCATAAAAGAAAAATATGCCAGTGGTGTTTGAACATTTTAATGCTGACAAGAATATGTGTGTGTGTGTGTATGTGTATGTACACACACACACACACACACAGGTTAAACCTCTACACCAAACGTCAATCTAGATCCAACACTTATGACAGAGTTATTAATTATTCGATGTAATAGTAGATTGTAATCTTTTGGGGGCAGGGATAATCTTTTTGTTCTGGATTTATCCAGCACCTAGCACAATGGTTCTTATTCCATGACTGGGGCTCGTAGATGTTCATGGATTGCAAAACACTAGTAGGTGAAAGCCCGTGCTGTTGCGCCGGGTGTAATCTGTAAAGTCGTGTGTGCAAAAAAGCCAAAAATGGGGGCTCTCGTTTCCATAGGCTGTGGTGTAGTGAACAATGTTACTGTTTGTACATGTTTCCCAAAGTTTGTGCACAGAGCTGCCCCCGGCTAGAAGCACAACCAGCTCTTTGTTACCCTGCTGAGCCGTTCTTCCTGACTCCTCTGATCTGTTACATTTCCAAACATCACAGAACCTTTGGACTCCAACGTTCCATCTGGTTCTCACAGGGCCCAGGGGTGATTGAACGTAGGTGATATTCTGAACAAAAAGAGCTTTCACCTCGGCTTGTAGCTATCTCCACCACTTTACACTGACTCAGACGTTCTAGGCTTCACAGTGACACACAGAGAGTAACAATCCTGGAATCTTATTATATAGATAATAAGAATGATTAATAATATGGTAGTACCAAAATACTCACAGATCAGGGGTATATATTATGCAAAGTACTCTACTAAGATATTCTCTGCCCCAAAGAAATCACAATCTAAAAGACAAGACATACCGGACAGATGAGACAAATCAGCGATCCAGGACTGATAAAGCAACAAAAATAATAGGAGGTGTACAGTTCATATCCAATCAGGGACAGTATTGCAACTCCTCGCCTGTCTATCAGGAATCAGACTCCTGAATGAATTATGGAAGTGGTGAGTTATGAGGAGCGATTTGAAGGAAGACAAGTATAATGATGGTTGC